GTCCCAGCACTGGTGCAGAGTTGTGTTGTGTTGGGGGGGGGGTTCCCAGCACTGGTGCTGAGTTGTGTTGGTCATGTGTGCCACCCGCCCAATCAACTTGCTTGACTACTGTATTTGAATTGTAATTGTTGTTCACAGTTCAATTATCATCAGGTTATTACTCAATTTACTGTGTCTCATTTTAATGTCTCTAATATATATTTTTTTACTTTAGCATGAAAAATAGCACATCCCTCCTGGTCAGGGGAAAAACAGTAATAGGCTTGTACATCTGCAAGATACATATGCCTGAGGGAAGAGTTGTTATATTATACCTTGGCGGCCAGAATTCCATCAAACTTCTTCACAGCTTCTCGCATTACCGAGACATCTTTATCCTCTAACACTTTAAGTTTCGGCAAGAGTGACACCAGCTTGTAACGATCAGCGACCTCAAGCGACACATTGTCTGACACGTCAACTTTCTCCAAGTTTGGAAATAAAACAAAATCATCAACCGAAAGCAGATTATTAGATGAACAATTCAATTCTTTCAAAGAGTTCAAAGTAAATCCCTCCAATTTTAATCCAGACAGCTTATTTTTGGAAACATCCAGGCTGTGCAGATTTCTCAATCGTTTTAAAACATCAGAATTTACAGACATCAAGTTCAATCCAGAAAGACTATAAAAGACAAAATAAAACAGTAAAGATACACTATGTTACAAAGTGACTGAACAGACTTGTTTGACTTGTTTTAACTCCCAAATTGTTTCTTGGGCATTTTCCACTTAGGATTATTAGAATATGTATAGCCCAAGGATTATTAAAACTCTCAATTATAAACCAATAACTGGGTTCAAGTGTTCTCATTATTAAAATTAACTCTCAATTCGCCTCCAGATACAAGACTACTGTAGACGTACATAATGAAAAGAATGAAGATTATTTTCTCACTATGTCCTGATATAAACTGCACACTGTACTAGATTGACCAGCATCTGCTGTACAATAGTGCTAGAAAATGAATCGACTAAAACCACACAAAGGTCATACTGTATTATTATTTTATATTTATTCAGCATATTATCTCACCTAAGCTGATGGATTTCTTCCAAAGAATGACACCCTGTTATTTCGCAAATTTCTAGTTCTCCGATCTCGGATTTGCCGATCGTTTGACCCATTGTTCAGAAAGGCAATTTGGAAATGAATTTCTCACATTTTTGTTGTTATATTTCAGCACGTGTGAAGATCTTTCTTTCTCAACGAACCGATTCGTACTTTGCTGGCATCCGCAAAAAATATCGCCGATTTGCAGGAATCCAGCTCGGATTAAGATTAGTGCAGGATTAGGGTTTGGATTAAAAACCATTGGACTTGAGATTCGAGTTTGAGTTATTGTTTACTCGGATTAGAGTAGATTAAGATTAGAATTAGATTTGAACCTAATCGGCTTTAACAAGGATTAAGTGTTAGACCAGTGGATTAATTTTAATCTCAGGATTTGAATTTATGGATTATTGAATCTCCAAGATGGCGGATTGTGCTTGCTCAGGAATCAGAAGTTGTTTGCTTTGTGAGAGCAAGAAGGACGTTAAAAACTCCTTAGAATTCGACTCAAACCATGAAATGAAGTTAAAAACGTTAATATTCTGTGTTCAATGTCAGAAATTGTATTCAGAAACTGTGTTTCAAGAAGATTTTTTACAAAATACTGTTCAGAGTTGTTCAAAACATGATTGCTTTGAGGATATAGTGTCTGGTATTACAGTAATTGAGGATTTTATCACGAAAAACGAAGAGGAATTCATGTTAGCAGAGATCGAAAAATTTCCATGGCAGGTTTCACAGTCAGGAAGGCAAAAACAGGTGGGGGCACTTGTCAATGTGAATCTCCCACTCCCCTTGTACCAGAGTGTGTGATATTAAAAATGCCCCCCTCCCCCCAACTTTAGAAAACCATGGAAATTTGGGCAAAAGCTAGGAAAAATGTAGAATATTCATGCAGATTTATTAGAAAATATATTAAATTTTCTCTTGCAGGATTTTGGACCAAAAGTTAATTTTAAGAAAAAGAAGTTAAGATCAGGCAACTTCACTGGTCTTCCAAAATTCAGTCAGTTCATTGTTGAAAGACTGCACAAGGCTGTTGCGCAATTGCAAAGCTTTCATCCAGTGGAATTGTGCAATCTTGACTACAGCCCAGAACGTGGGGCATCCATCGACCCTCATATTGACGACACATGGCTTTGGGGTGAACACCTTGTGACAGTGAACTTACTTTCAGACACCATTCTTACCCTCTCTGATTCAAAACATTTCTATGAAATAAGAATTCCAATGCCTAGGCTTTCTTTAGTTATACTCAAGGGTAACGCAAGGAATACATGGATGCATGGCATTAAACGTGAGGATATTAAATCACGACGGATTGCTATCACATTAAGGGAGCTATCCGAGGAGTTTCTATCTGGGGAGGCATACACACAAATTGGCAGACCTCTGTTAGAATTAGCTGCATCATTTAATGGATTACCAACATCAACTTAATCTAATTATTAATACAATTCTTGTATATATTTTATGTAGACAAATATTACAAAATACATATTAAATTAAATTAAACATCTACAGTAGTTTGTTTCAAAGGAATTTTGCAAGAGTGTGCAGTTACAACTTTGTTAGTTTAAATTGTTAGTCATGATCAGTTTATTTCTTCAATCAGTTTTTTACCAGGCCTTTGCATTCTAGATTTTTGTATTTTTAATTTTTCTTCTTGAAGTTGCTTGACATCTAAAGCCATGGCTTCTTTCACAACCACAAGGAATGGGATCAATGTTAAACATTCTTCTTGATTTTCACAAAACCAAGCCAACATAAATAGTATTTTCTTCTTTACCAACCACAGAGACTTTCCATGGTCTTTAGATTCTATATTCTTGTGAATCGCAAGATTTGTTTTACTGTCAGTCTTACTAAGCTTAATAGCTTTGGCAAATAATCTGTGAATATCAGACAGGGCTAACTCTACATAATGAGTTTCCTTGTCAATCTCACTGCCTTTCAAAAGCAACAAAATATCATCAATTATTGATAGAGAAAACTCCTCAGAGTTAAATAGTTCTTTGTGTTGTTGACTTGCCTCAATGGCACTCCGAAGTGCATCGTCTAGGCTAGAGAAATGAACAGTATGGTACAGCACTGCCGATAGTCGCCACAACCTATCGACAGCTTCTTGTAAGAAATCATGATGACAGCCATTGTAATATCTACAGATATACACATAACTGTACAGTATGTTTACTAGGTTATATTTTGTTTGATCACTTGCTGGCTTCGACTTGATTAGAGATGATAATTGCGGGATATTCTTCAGCAGCTTGGGTAACATACAATTACCGGTGGTCTCACTTCTGATTGGTTCACCAGGGCTAAAAAACAACCAATCAAATTTTTGTTAATTTTTACCCACCTTGTATCCCAAGTAATCCCAAATGTACCCATGTATCAACAAATGTCCCAGTATACCCATATTTACCCATTATTACCCACCTGGCATCCCTATTGATCCACCAAGGTACCCATGTATCAACAAGCGACCCAATATATCCATCATCTACAGCTCTCTGAAATTCTCTTTTCTCTTCCTCTGTTAACTTTTCCCAAATTCTTTCAGTGTCTCGATTTAAATTCAATCCTTCAAGCCGTTCCTCCAAATTTTCTCCCAATTCTAACCCTTCGTCTGTTAAACCATCTTCCGTTTCTTCTTGCTCAAAGCGTTTTAATATTTCCATCATTTTACGTTTTTCATGGTTGTCAATGGTGTCTCCTTTCAAAGTATCCATAACACACTGCTTGTAAAAAGTCTCGGAACATTGAACATGTTTCCTGCTTCTGTAACACTCCACAGAGCAATATTTCACGTTACATCGAGGGCAAGTGTATTTGGAAAGCTTTTTAAGACACAACTGACAACCAGAAGCGTCTGTAAAGTCAGGAGTATCGTCTTTAACCACATCGTCTTTTAAACGTATGTCTCCCGCCATATTGGATTTTGACGCGATGGTCAACCTACCTCCGTCTCCCCCCCTGGTCATTCTAAAAATACAAAAGATATCAGGGGGGAGTATCCCAAAGCTTGTCTCTACTTTTGACACCTGTTCGTAGGCAACGGAAGTCAAAAGAACAATAAATGACAAAATTGAACAATAAATACAAAATGTCAGAAGAAGTTAAAGTAAACGGTCTTTCTGAACTTTTAGCAAAACTAGATAGTTTAAAAGAACAAAATGATGTGTATATTTTATTCACTGGTTCCAAGGATTCCTCAGGAAATAGCTGGTGCTCTGATTGTAATGATGGTAAGATCTTATTTAAGGTGGCTCAATTACCTGAATATACATATTACCCATACTCCATAGCAATGTAAATTCTAAGTTTTGAAGGATTTGTAAGAAATGTCTGTAGGAATTGACTCAGTGTTTAACACTCAAACATTTCTTACAAATCCTTCAAAACTTAGAATTTACTCAATTTTCCTATGCAAAATTCCCACTGTGATCACAGAAACTTTGATAGTGTAGACCAGGTTTAAGGGAGAGCACTGTTCAGTGGGTTAACTCATCAGAATTATCAAACTGTTTGTATTTCACATTTTCAGCTGATCCAGTGATCAAGAAATGTTTGCCAAATGCACCAGAAGGATCTGTGTTTATTTGTTGCATTGTTGGCGACAGGTCAGTGTAAGTATGTGTGGTTGTGCATTGTTATGTGGTGGTACGCTTGTCACCATGCAAGATGAATGCTTTCAGTTACCAAACTCTGCTTTCAACACCATGGCATGTATATGCTGATAACTAAAGCCTTGGTCAAACAAAGATCCATGAGAGTTGATGAGGGTTGAAACTCTCGCTCACATTCGACTCTCATCAACTTTGAACTGGCTCAAAATTTTTTGCTACACACACGGTCATACTCAGTGAATTGAGAAAACTGCTTCTAAACTCTCATCCTCGTTTGCCCAGGTCATACCTTTTTTGTTCCAGGTGGAAGGATCCTGAAAATGAGTTTAGAAAACATCCACAGTTTAAATTAACTGGCATTCCTACGTTGATCAAGTGGAAAACAGTAAGTACACCATTTGCACTTCCTCCCAAAAAACTTGCCCCCACCCCTGAAATTTTGCCCCCCCTCCCATCCCTCCCCCCACCTCATTCTTGCCCCTCCCCCCATTCCTGCACCTCCCTTCCCCCCACCCCCCCTCATTCTTGCCCCCACCCTGAGAAACTTACCATAGTAACTACAATTGTACTACACTACATGTACAATGCTTTTTGTCACGACAGGCTAACCGTCTTGGCCCAGATGACTGCAAGAAACAAGATTTAGTGGAAATGATTTTTGAAGATTAATTTACAAACTTCACTTGTACATTCACTGATAATTGATGAATAAACATATGTACAATATAAAAAAATTATTTAATGAAAATTTCTTCGAAGTGTGTGGTCCTTTGCTCTACTTCACAGTTTTTCAACTAACCAGCTTTGCTTCAGACATACATATTGTTGTACTACTTTAGTATCCTGTCTCGAATTACGTGTGGATCCAGCGCTACAATAAGCTGTCGTGGTTTGTGTCTACACTAACTGAAAAAGTTTAAAAACACTTTAGGAGAGGGTCCTCTTCAGGTAGGCTACTCCTGCCCAAGACAAAGTACTTTGCTCGAAACATCAGAGGTAGATCAGACACAATCCAGGACAGCTTATTGCGCAACACTAGGGAGCTTCAGATTTGATTTCCTCTACCACTACCACTAACTAACCATTAACCAATCAGATGCGTTTGATATATCCAATTAACCAATCAGATGCGTTTGATAAATCCAATCAACCAATCAGAGGTAGTGGATAGTGGAAGTCAAATCTGAACAAGCTTTCGTTTGTAGGGATGCAATTACTTGAAGAATATAAGGAGAATTTCGACGTTTCAAACTCCAGACGAAGGGCCTTCGCTCGAAACGTCGAAATTCTCCTTATATTTTTCAGGTAGTTGAATCCCTACCAGTGAAAGCTTGTTTATATCATTGCCACTACCTACACTGGCTGACAGTTCAAACTCTGAACCTCTCTGCTTATAGCTCGACGACAACAGTCAAATGGTTAGTCTCGACGACAACAGTCAAATGGTTAGTTCTTAAAAAAAGATACGCTTTTTGTAATAGTTCTCATAATCCACCGTCTTGTGCATCTTGAAGTGTCGACCCTGACCAGCGCTGTGCAAGTACTCATTGACTGTATTCCTTCAATAATCTTCCAGCTATGACCAATCTTTGAACTTCACTCGTTCCTTCATAAATCTCGGTGATCCTTGCATCTCTATAATGTCGCTCTGCTGGCATATCGTTCACGTAACCCATACCACCAAGAATCTGAATACACTAAAATACCAATGACAAAGTCTGTAAAAGTACGCTAGGCAATCTCCATACCGTAAACCTCAGAATATAAGCCCGCCGTGTACCCCGTGTATAAGCTCACCCATGTACTAACGTTCACCTCATTCCAAATATAGCCCCGAATATAACCCCACCCAAATATAAGCCCACTTGTTTATCACTATTACCACCACTATTTATCACTATAGATAGATAGATAGATAGATAGATAGATAGATAGATAGATAGATAGATAGATAGATAGATAGATAGATAGATAGATAGATAGATAGATAGATAGGGACTTTATTTAAAGAGGGTGACACTTAATAGTACGAAGTACTAATGAACTTGTGACCCTCATAAAATTTACAAAAAATTAGGGAGTATATCTATTTACAACATTTATATATATCTATGATCATAAATCAATATTCAGACTTTCAAGTTTACTTAATTAAAAAGGTTATATTACATGAGGTATATATGACATTACATTTATATAAAAGAGAACATTATATAGCTATATTACAATTATATATTACTTAAATTTGAAATCAGGAAAAGAAGTAAATTGTTTAAATTCACTCTGTTGCGTACGGAAGCAATTATATAATAAGTATTTAAAACAGTTAATGGAGCTAGCAGAACGGAAACTTAGAACTATTATTACTATGCTTGTTTAACACTTTTACTATACTTGTTTATCACTATTACACTAACACAAAAGATCGTCCATGTATAAGCCCCCATGTATATAAGCCCCCCTTGTATAACCACATCAAAAATCGCTTACGAAAGAATATAAGCCCAGGGCTTAAGTCCCATTTCCACTCAAGAAAATTGGTGATCCGTAACCTAACGATATAACCAGAAAATTTTCCACGGAAAGAAAATTTTCCGAAATTATCATTGTTAAAAGTTGAAAATTTTCAACTTCAAAATTTTTTCCGACGGAAAATTTGTGTCGGCCGATCACATTTTACAAAATTTTCTTTCTGCGCAAAATTCTCCTGAGTGGAAATAGGTCTTTATAGTTGGAGGTTTACGGTATTCGCAAATAATGGATAAAACGCCAACACAAACCTATAGAGTAATGTTTGCTGCATGGGGCCAAATTTCCATACGGTACGCGAGTTTCATGCATGTTAAAAGTCAAGCAAGGTTTAGGATATGGTTAAACCATACCCGAAACCGTTCTTGACTTTTAATATGCAGAACATTTCTTTTGTAATTTGTCTTCATAAATTAAAAGTGCCATCCAGCCAGGATCTGAATGTTCCATTGCCTTTTTAATTGTTTTGAAATTCCAACACCATGCCGTCCAAGTCACCCATGTGAAAGGCCCATTAACCGCATTTTTGAAGCTTCATATGCAACACCAAGTACCACTTGAAGCGTACATCCAGGCCTTAAAATATCTTTTACATGGCCGAGTTTGGGTCGGACATATGTCCGATGACCTTCAGTTCAGTTTTGACTTCGAATAAGTCTGAATGACACGTCAAATGAATATCAGCACAATGTATTAATTCTGAACGGTAAATGTTGTAAAGATATTACATAATTCGTTTCTTTCATACTTATTTCCAAGCCAAAATTAACTTGCTTTCCAGAACAGCAGTATTAAAAAAGACTTCGACAACTTAAGCCCGTTTTCCACTTCATTATTTCGCTCGCCACCCCACGCTCGACTACGTTAAAACAACATTTCCAGTTCACCTTTTATACAATAGTACTCTGATTTTCCATTTAACATACAAGCCTCTAGTCCTGGGCTAGGGTACATTTTGATTTACGATGGACAAAGCTACATTTCGGTCGGACACCAATTCACTCGGGTCGGACAAACAATAAACCTCAGTTTCACTTTGGTCGGACAGAATGTCCGGTGGTTTCCTCTCTACGTCGGACAATTTCACGAATGGGTCGGACAATGTCCGTGACCGACCGATATTTTAAGGCCTGACATCTCAAACTCATTAATAATTCATGAGTAAATTAGCCAACCATATTGCCTTATTTTGCTCACATTATAATACTGGATATCTGATGACGTATATTAATTCAGTCCTAGGTCTGGATCAAAATTAATTCACCTCCTCACCATTCGTACGAGATGTCATTTCAAATCCTTCAATTTGGACTGGACTAGATTTCAAGTTCTCACATTTTGATCCAGTCATTGAAATCTAGTCCAGTCCGAATTGGAGGATTTGAAATATTACATAATTGACCGTTTGCGTAATAGACTAAATTTTGATCTCAACAAAAATTTCATCAGAGCTTGAAAGAGCATCACAAAATTAGTAATATTCCAAAGTTTCGTTGCAAAATGTTGTAAAATGCGGATAATATAGCCTTGCGAAGTTTGCAATTTTCAGTCATTTTAGATTACAAACGGGAAATTGACAGCCCCCAAACCCTTCGAGGCTGTCAATTTCCCGTTTGTAATCTAAAATGACTGAAAATTGCAAACTTCGCAAGGCTATATTTTCCGACAACATTTCGCAACGAAACTTTGGATTATTACTAATTTTGTGATGCTCTTTCAAGCTGTGATGAAATTGTTGTCTAGACTTGTTTAGATCAAAATTTAGTCTATTACGCAAATGGTCAATTAATCTGGTGGTTATTTCGGTAAAAGATACCGTTATAGCCAAACGGCCGGAAAGCCAAACGAATGTCAGCAATATATACTAGATATCTTGATGTGTACAGAACTAAGGACAAGTGAACAAAATCTTGATTGACTAGTTACCTGATGAGCGACAAATGTAGCAGTTTCTGATGCGGAAACTTTCGCCATTGCAGCCTCCTATAGAGAAACGATCACATGTGCAACAAATTAGCCTTTTCCCAAAAGAGATCACAGTGCATTCTGGGATCGTTTGGAGGGACAACATATATGGTGTATGGTGACAGGCGTCAAATATGTGAAAGAGTAGAAGTATCTACTATCCAATATCAACTTTTAGACGACCAAAAATAAAATATCTCCTTTTTACATTGAACATTTAATTTAAATGTGTGCTGCCATATTTCTTGTCCCTCCAACATGGGATTCACGCGACTAGACCCAGGACTTTGGGAAATGGCTAATTAGCGTGTACTTCATGAGCAACAAACACAAAGGTTTTTGTATTAAACGAAATTTTCTATTCAAAGCAGTTCCTCTCTAGTAGAGAAACATTGCCATTTCGTCTTGTTGTAACCTTTCTTTTTGGTTGACGCCCAGGGGCCAGTTGTATAAAAAGGCAGATTGAGCAATCCAAATCGCATGTTTTAACGCCCGTTCACACTTGCGATTTTTGCTGCGATCTTCGTCTTCTGACGGATGTGAACGAGTGGATGAATTGTGAATGTCCGAGTACATTTAACAATTATTGAATGAGGTTGAGCACGATATGAAGAATTATCAAGGGCTTGATAATTCTTCATATTGTGCGAAAATAGAATTCAATAATTGTTTTATTATTTATTTAAAAAATTCAAAACAAACAGTCGTCCATTTGTTCGCCCGCGTTTATCAGCCAATCAAGAATTAAGAAACTGAGTGTCATTCTTACCTATTCTAGAAGCTTTTGTTGATCTTTTTGTATTTAACAGTCTTCCAGTATTTCAATTTCGGCTTCGCCAAAGTTGGCGAACCTTTCAGTGAAAGAAGCTGTTTGTATTTTATTTGTATTAAGAAAAAAACAATTCCTTAGTCCTTCGGCAGCCGTCGTCGTCATATCAATGGCGTCAGCGAGTCAATATGATTCTCGTCGTCATAGTAATATGGCGCAAACGCGTCCAAATTTTTTTCATATTGACTCTTTGACGTCATTTTGCTATTATGAATGTGAAAAATCCCTAATTGGTTAGCCATTGAGTTGATATGACAATTTCACAGTTGGCTGTTAGCCAATCAGAAACCAGGAAATTTTTAAATAAATAATTATTCTCATTATTAGTCGTCATCTGAATATTCATAACTCATCCACTTCTTTACATCCATCAGAAGAAGGAAATCGCGTCTAAAATCGAAGCGACTTAACTGCTATTTAACAACAAAATAAGGGATTAAAAAGTAGTTGAGAGCTTTATACAATCTGCCCCAGGAAGGCCTTTGTGAATGCGAGAGGACGTATTAGACTGTACCTTGGTGTAATTCTGTCCTGCATCCATCATACACGCTGCTTGCCAAGTCAACAATCGCGAACTTTGAATCCGTGTCTCCATATCTGCTAACTTAAACTGTTGGAAAAATTCAGGTTTACAAACGAAGATTCTCCTGAGGAAATATCTTTCCTCGACATTCTAAATATGAATTGCATGAGACGCATACCTGTATTGCTTGTAGGCTGCTGATTGGCTTACTGAATGCTGTTCTTTTCTGCGCGTATTCGATAGCACATTCAAACGCTGCCTATACGTGATTGTATAAATGTACATTAGACATTTGTTACTGATGGAGAGTCTGTTTTTTGTTGCGTCCTGTAGTAACACCATACAGAATTTCCTTTACTGGACCTCCAGGGAAATACTGATAAAGGTGCATGCTCAGCATAAATAAAGTGATTTTAGTTGAGTTTACCTGTGCAATGCCCAATGCTTGTGCAGCAATTCCTATTCTCCCACAATCCAAAGTCATCTAGAAAGATATTTTCACATACTTAAAGTGCGACTAACCCCAAATATAATTTTTGTTATGTGTAATATTTGGGTCATTCTAAGAAGAAATGTAATATATCTTTATAATAAAAAACCTCATCTTGATCAACTTTTTCACTGTCAAAAGTTTCAGATATGATGTCATTAGGTGAATTTTTGGTACAAAAAAGCAAAGGAAAACTAATTCACCTAATGACATCAGATCCGGAAACTATGACAATGAAAAAGTTGATCAAGATGGAATTTTTTATTATAAAGACATATTACATTTCTTCTTCGAATGACCCAAATATTACACATATTTAAGCCTGGTTTACACTATCAAAGTTTCTGTGATCACAGTAGAAATTTGGCATCTAAGTTGTAAGAAATGTTTGAGGTAGGACTGAGTGTTAGTTCCGTAGTACCATTGCAATCTTGAATCCCATTCCTGGTTCTCCAAGCAAATTTTCTTTGGGCAGCACGCAATCTTCAAATATCAAGTTACACGTTGACGATGCCTTGATGCCAAGTTTGTTTTCCTTCGCTCCCAACGATAGTCCTTCAACAGGTTTAGGAAATATGAAACAACTGATGCCCTAAAAATAAAGATGACTACATGGGAAGTGGTCGTGTTGGGTGTTGAAGAGTAAAATGACGAGGAAATCACCAATGCCATTAATAATTACTTTATGTTTATGTGAACGATCCGTTGTTGCAAAAACCTACACAAAGAAAAGAAAAATATTCAATGCACATGATTCCTAAACTTGGTTGAGCAGCAGTTTTGGTTTGGATACAAGGGAAAGCATACCACACGAGTGCTTCTGCTCAATGTGTTCATCCTGTGTAATGTACATACAGTATAGCATTTATGCTAAACATTTCTTACCACGCCAGCTTCAGATTCATATCCATTGGTAATCCAACTTTTCGTACCATTCAACAACCAATGGTCACCTTGATCTTTTGCAGTTGTTTTAGCGGCACCAGCGTCGCTACCATTATCTAGAATAGTTACAAATAATTTGATACACAACTGATTTCCAATCAATTTTTTAATCAATCATTAATAAGTATTTTCATAAAACTTTGGAAACTTGCAGGTTTGGTATCACCTGGTTCACTTAGAGCAAAACATCCAACTTTATCTCCTGATACAAAAGGTCTGATCCATTTTTCCTTTTGCTCATCTGTTCCAAATTTCATGATTGGACTAAGATATAGAGACTAAACACAGACGTGGGAAAATTTATCAATAATGCTGCAAGTTGTCCACTGAATACTTGTAAGGCTAGATCATCTCTTATTGACCCAGTGTTACTACATCTAAGGAAACCTATATTAAAACTACATTTTATATACTGGATAACTCTATCAGTTCTATACTGTTCTTCCTAGAGGTCCAGTAAGTTCTATACTGTTCTTCCTAGAGGTCCAGTAAGTTTCATCTCTTATTGATCCAGTGTTACTACAGGAGGAAACCTAAACTAAACTAACTTTATTTATACTGAAGGAGTTATTATTATTATTATTAAGCACATAATGGGCTTTGAGATAACTTAAGTAACATATAATTATACAGCAAGAGTGTTTACATTATTGACACTCATAACGACACTGGTTGAAGCACACCCACGACTGATCTCCTCCATTGCAATTGCATATCCAAGATTATCAAGTTCTGCACCCCCTAGGGCCTCTGGGACTGTTATTGACATCATTCCTAGCTCCCCTAACTTTTTCACCTGCAGAATGAAAAAATTGTTAAAAATAGGTAGGCAATGTGTACATTGAATGTTAATGAATATTGACCTGTTAAGCACTCCCCCCTAGACAAGTAAAATCTCCGGGGCACATTGGGGCATATTAAATGCTTGAAATAGGGTCTAGATGGAGGGGGGGGGGGGGGGGGG